ATAAGTGAGCTTATTGCGCATGTAATCTGGATAATTGTGATAGAACTTACTTTGATAGGACGCTGGATGCCGGTATCAACGTATTTTTTTGGTTCCAACAGAAACTTTGCCCTGTCTTCCTCTGTTCCAAAGTAGTAGGCCTTACCCAGGTACTCGGCAACGAGTTCTGGATCTCCAGGCTTCATTATCTGGAATTCCTTCAGTGCAACTGGACAGAAGTAACTAGTTCTACCCAGCTGTCTTGTCGGTCCCTTGGAAGGATCTTCCTCCTGTAGAGTTAACAAAAAATAATATAAATCCACAGAGATGATTTCCAAATGGAACTTCACAGAAACATTTAAATAAGGATGGTATCGAGCCATTCGCTCAACACAGTGCATAGCAACGTTAGAGCATCGACTGCAGGTACTTGCACAGGCAACTCTGCCATCTGTTCTCACTTGAATGTTTCGAGGTATTTTTCCATGGGAATGATAAAATCTGCCGTGTGTTGGTTTTACACATGTAGGTAAATGTTCAAAATCTACCCTCTCTCTTATAGTTTAGAAACAGAAGTAGATAAATGCTGATATATTTTCAACTAAAAACTCAAACTAACAAAGCAGTTTTATAAATTTTAAGAGCAGTTTGCGAGCATACGTAAACTTTCGATAGATTATAATCGGGCCAGTATATTTATGTGCGATGCCGGTGGTCAATGATATTCGTCTTATCATGCAAGTGAGTCATGGGAATAAGGCGGGGAGGGATCGATAAGATAAGGTGGGAGGGTTCGGTGAAACCAGTCCAAGGGAAGGGAGCAAGCGAAAGCGTGGAAGAGTACAGTTAAGCGGCTGTTGGCTATGCCAGGTCACAGCTTGCGGGAGGTTCTTTGGTGCACACAAGGCCGGCTTTCACAGCCTGATTCCGGAAATCCTGTGGACTCCACTAAAGTTCTTCGGGTGATTTATAAGGTCCCATTAAACTGCCCCAAGTCCCTGGTCAGAGTCTGCTAGCAGTAGCAGAAGCAACCGCTAACAGGTTTCAAAAGCCGGTCTTGTGTGCCTAAAAGAAACTGCAAACTCCGCGCCCGGCATGGAAAACAGTCGCTTAACTGCATGCACTCTCGCGCGCTCTCCCTTTCCCCCCACTCCTTCCCCTGGACTGATTCCATCAAACCCTCCCCCGCCACGTAACCAACACTCTCTTATCGACCCTGCCCCCCCCCCTTCTCACGACTCACTCGGATGATAACGCGAACACTTTTGATTGCACTTTTAACTTGTATCCCGTTCTTTTATAGAATGTACTGGCTCAACGATAACATCTCGAAAGCTTACCTATGGTTGCCAACTGCCTTTCCTTTTTGTAATTACTAACAATTCACAAAACGCCCCCGGCTGAAAAATACCAAAAGTGATTAAGTACACTGTTTACCGATTTGTTGAATGTAACTGACAGAGGCGCTATTGAGCCCTTAAATGTCAAAATATAGTAGAATTTGCTCACCCTCATTTCGATTTTCGAGTGTGGAATGCGTAGGAAGGAGACTTTTGCATTGATGTCTCCCCACCCCCACCCCCCCTATCCGATCGCCTCTAGGGTTAACCTTGTAAATGAGGGTCAGTGGCTGCTAAAGTTGCCGGAAGTTTCGTCGCAGTTTTCTTGGTCAACTGGTTCAGGCCTAGTGCCTGCTCACTGCGCAGTCCCAGGACACGTCTTAAGGCCACAACCACCGAGTGATTGAACACTCATCCGCGTTACAGCTTTATATTTACGAATGCTACTTCGTCTAACAGTGTTCTCGTCAACGTGTGGTTAGTGAAGACTAAATACCTAAGAGTTTTTGTATTCTATAAATGAACACACAGGATGCAGACAAAATACGCGTGAGTCAAATAGGTCCCTGGGATGTCCGAAATATACGAGCCCGGTAGCGTAAATGCAGTTCAAGCCAGCTGCGAACGCAAACATGAACAAACTTTGTGAAACTTTTTTCCTGAATTAAATGGACGTTGAAAGTGTAATGATCAGAGTTCTAAAACACGCTGAAATAAAGGTCCTTGGGGGTGCTGGTCACCAACTGCGGAGGTACAATTTACTAGTCGAAAGCAACAGTCCATTGCTTCTGTTTCCCAAACACACCATAGGTATTGGATCCCCTGGAGACGCCTAGTTATTGAGGCGTATGACCCGTTGAATTATTTTCAGGCATTTCTATCGTAGGATGTAAGTCGTCCTTTTCGAATTTTTTTAGTCAGACTTATTCTACGACACATAAGGCCATTGCATACTTTTATCCCAAGCCGGGTTACAGTGTATAACGACGAGAGCGTATTCCGACAGTTTGGCTTCCGTATCCCACGAGGTCCACCGTTAGCGCAGAGAGGGTGACTTGCGTAGGAATTAGTTTCAAGTGGTAGTATACTAGCGCTCCAACTACAGTACCCTCTGTGTCTTGTGTCAAGACAGAGCCTATAAAACCGAAGGTTGGACCGGACACAGGTGGCTGGGAGTCGTGAGGCTGTACCTGCGTGTGCCATCCAACTCCCCTCCCCCCCCAGCATTAACCCGTGTGCGGCGTTTGTTAGCGGAAGATTTACCGAATACCGCCTGTCGTGCCCTGGTCTACCCTCTCGCCCCACCCCCTGCCGGTACTAAGCATCTACCACTGATCAGTGCTGTCATCAATTCTGCAAATAGATTCAACCAGTAAGCTCCTTAAACTTGTAAAATGAATTCTTTAAAATGCTGATGGAAAACTTTCGTTCAGTAACTTGGCAGCGATACTTTCGGTCTTGGTTTGTTTCACAGCTGATGAGCCCCGTCAATCAAGACATTTGAAACCAGAATAGTTCCAGCAAGCCCAAGAGAAGGTATCTCTTGAGATAAATAGCTGTCAATTTGAAGAAGTAGGTAGTTCCAACTACCTCGTAGCGATGTTGTGGCCGAGTAGACAGAGTAAGGACGACACTATCTCTCGAATCGATGCAGCTCGCAGAGTTTTCTCAAGCCTTAGAAAGTATCTACAGACCCGACGCGACACCTCTTTTACCAAGAAGGTTCGCGTGTACCGTGCATCTGTACACTCTTTTCTTCTATATGGATGCGAATACAGGGCTATGCGCGTGGAAGAGGAACGGAAACTGAAAGTCTTTGACCGCTACTTCTTGAGGACCATCCTTCGAGTAAAGTTCACTGGCTTCGTTTCAAATGAGACAGTCCGCACTCGCTTCAGAAACACCGCAAGGACATCCCAGGCCATCCAAGAAAGACGACTGAGACGGTTTGGACGCATTTTTCGTCGTCAATCCCACGAGTTCAGTGTTACTGCCCTCGACCCGAAACCGCTACTCAATTGAATATATCGAAGAGGGCTTCAGCTTAAAACGTGGCTCGACTCAGTCCATCAGGGCATTAAAATGGTTCTTAGATGTTTGGTCTTCGGCGGCCGGCTTGGGCAAAGAGAACAAATTGAACTGTTCCGGTCTGGTGCCACGGATCGTCTCGCGTAGAGAAGAACCACCCGGGACATCATCGAGGCCGGCTAGATCAGTGATGATCGCAGCCGTAACAAGTACAAGTAAGTAGGTGAACGCCTCACAGTCATCTCAGGCCGTTACACAGGATCAGCGAAATACGTGTGCAGTAACTTTTAGCCAATCAAGATCCGTAAAGAGAACAGCAAGAACGACAATGGCAGCATCAATGGGGCTTACAGGTTGCATCTCCTCTTCCTCTTCCTCGCCCTCTTCAGCCTCTTCCTTGGCCTCCTCTTCCTCTTCGGCCTCCTCCTCTTCGCCTCCCTCCTCTCCGGCTGGCTTATAATCTTCCAGCCCACCTTCTGCGAATGCTTCCGCCTCAGCGTCCGCCTTCTCATCCAATTCGTCTTGTGAAGATTCCTTCGCTGGACGTTGGAGTGGCTCTAGTGAAAAAAAAACAGGCGGCTTGAATACAGTTATGAACATATATTTTGTCTGGTTTTCGCTTAGCACCTCCATGAGATGAGAATAGACTGTATTGCGTCGAAATGGCCGCGATTTTTGGAACAAGAAGTATCATCGTCCGACTTTTCAGAATCATGCTCTAAAGCCTCATCAGACACCCCCTTAGCAACCCGTATTTTATGTTGTCCCGATGGTCGGTTCTAGCATGAATAAGAACTGTCGGGTGAGTAAGTTTCTTATTCCAACGACCGCATCTACTTGTTATCGACTGCCTCCTAGGACTTACATTTTCACTGGTGCCGATACAATATAGTGCGCCGGAGAACACGGAAGGATTAGTATCCGTTTGGTCAGCTAGCCGGAAAGAACAAGCCAACGAACACCGTTTGAATAAAGTTAAATTTTGTCGATATTTTTTGTTCGAGGCAATCGGTCATATGAATGCGCGAATCAGGCATAATGTTGTTGTAATGTTACCAAAACCGAGATGTCACCGTCTAAGTATGCTCTGTTTAAATTCCTTAGGAAGGACTCAACGACAAGGGCGCAAAAGTGAAAGTCACCAGAATAAGGGTTTTATTGTGCACAGAAGCCTCCAATGTTGTCTCAGGCAGCAGTGGCCGATGGCAAAGCCAGGCCTGGTGTTGACTGCCTCCAATCACGCTTGAAAGTATCTGTAAGCACCTTGTGTGAGCTGTGACAGTTGCTTCTAATTGATTGTGAAGGGAGTTCAAGTGTTGCATGACTGGTGGATTGGATTGCTCGAGGGATGTTGAGTATTGACGTCCCCTACTGCTTATCCGCAGGGTGGCGCGTTCAAGTGGCTCTTGAGAATCTGCGACTAGTTGGACGCGCGTGTGTGCGCGCCTGCGTGCGCACGTATGTGTGCGAGTGAATGTTGGACAGGCATTTTAAAGTCAGCGAGTCTAAAACAGCCGCCTGCGAAGACATATGACCTTGAGGCAGTTCGCAGTGAGCAAGGAAGTAGTGTTGGCTGTCCACATCAGCAGCGACTCGTCAGGACAGCCTGCAAGCGAGTCGGTTAGGCTGGCTCCTAACAAATCCGATTTAGTGACAGGCAGATTATAGGTAGATTAGCCGTTCCGGCAAAGACGATGGAGAGTGGAATGGCCATTTCTGGCTTATTAACTGTTATAATCCAGTCATGCCCAATCCAAGGTGGTGCACCATCCGAGCGTTGATGCCGCGACCTGCTGATTAGAAGTCTAATGTTCTTACCATTGAGTCACGGGCTCGTTGTCCTGTGGGTTTTGATCGGATTGGTAGACAGACGCTCACCGATCGGTTACGGAATTCACTCGTCCCGCTGTGTCTTGGGGGCTCGCTCTAGAGCTCCGCCAGGAGCCGCCAGCTGTTAGTACAACTGAGTTCCGTAACCGATAGGTGAGCGTCCATTTACCAAGGGTTGGTCTGTCTTTACGGAAGGTCAAACAAATACAACATCGCAATTGCATACTTTCGTGTAGTATTTTACAACCTCATTAGTGGCATTTAGTACGGCAACAGTAGTTTAAGTAGTGCACCTCATATACCCCTAGGTTCAGCCTTTTGTCCTATAGAAACGGTGATTATAGGGGTTTTTGGGTGGGGAACTAGGATAGGCAGTGAAATCTACTTTAATAACTGCTATATGCATTTTTATTTTATTGTTTATAGAAATGTTGTTGATTTATATCTGTTGATTTTTCCAATTGGCATTATCTTTTAACGGCTATTGTGGTGTTCAACTATAAGCGTGATTTACAGATGTTGCGCACAACGACAATATGAGACTACGATGGTTTTCCCGTCTCATTTACCGCCGGCAATCCCCAAACCCCCAGGGGAGGACTTCGTGAATATTTAGCCGCCATCAGGTTGGCTATTGCTCTTATTGTTCAACCACTTGAAAAAACATGCTCACATTATCGCCTGCGAGTGGGAATATTTAAAATGTAGCGAACGTAACGCTCGCATAAATGGAACGGCCATTCGCCGCCCTGTAGTCTACTCATATGGTTGAAAGGCACTCTTGTTTAACAAGTATAATGCCCACGACGTAATAATCTATGTAGTTTCAGTCCACAAAGCATCGGAGTGTTTAAAAAAGGCCAGTCAAGATGTCAGAATGCAAGATATTGCGTTTGATCCTTATGCCAAAAATAATGAGACAAGAGCGGAGTAGCTGTCGATCGAGGCCAGAAATATAGTTATTGATAAAAACAGGGAAAGGCAAGCTACCATTCTGATTTATTTTCTGGCTTCAGTCAAATAACCTCATAGTGAGCCTACTTTGGGACCCGGAATTTCAGCTCTGATCAACAGCTTCAGGATAAATACGTATTAAGCTTATCATTGAATAACAGGTTATGATCTGGATTATGTACGTATTACAAGTGGCCTTGAGCCAAACCCCACCGAGGGTTATAATCTGGGTTAGAAGGGCAGTGTTAGTGGAAGTGTTGTGACCCAGCTATGAGCGCACGTGCACTTGCGGCTGCTAGCATACGCACGAGCTTAACCCAATCCGGTCTGACCAATCACCTTCAAGGCTGACTCATACGGGACCTCACTGTGCTACCTGCCACACTCACACACTTTGTATGCGGTCCTATCACGAGTGGTCGTGCACTAGTCTGACAGTCAACTCAACCTGTTCTCCATTAGAGAATACAATATTCGTCCGATCTGGCGTCGCACTTCTTCCTTGCCACACCGAGCCGGGACTAAATGTCGCAGCGGCAGTTCTACCTATTAACTCAACTCAGTGTGATAGTAGACGTGGAATTAGGTTTAAAAAGGTCAATGTTAGTGTTACAGTTTGGAAACCTGAGTATGTCCCCAAGGAATTTAGCACAAGGCTACCCGTAATATTAGAAGCTATATTTCCATGTACGACCAAAGAAGCATCCAAGATTTGCCAGAGGTTCAGAAAAGGTCGGCTTTCACTTGGCCGAGCCGTTGAAGTACTCAAATTCCCCTTGGATGCAGCAAAAAATTACTGTCTGGTATCAGGAAGGTAGAACTCAGCAACACTGCATACAACTTACTTTGTATGGCAACAGATATTTCCTTATACAAGTCGTCGTAACTTTTGCCTCCAATGTCCAGATCTGAGAACATGGCACGATAGCCGTAGGCGGAAGTGGTTTTTCCCAAAAACTCTGTGGTTTTCCCCCATTCTGCCTCAAATTGCCGGATCATGTTCAGAACGTAGTCAACTTCGGGCCCAGGGGCTGGCATTGGGTCGAAATGGACGTTTGAAGCCGGCAAATCCGGTGGGGCCTCTGTCGTATCATCAGCTGTCGGTGCTGCTTGAGAGTCAGTCATTGGTTCCATTGCAGGATCAAGAAGGTCCTGTTTCACCAACTTCGGAACATCTGCACGGAGAGCCAACAAAGACGTTAAGCATTTTTTGTTGAAATCCTACTTAAGGTCCCATGAATTTTTTCAATAATCTAATGTTTTCGCAATAAAATAGCGCGTTATAAATAAACACAGAAATTTACTTATATTTCTTACTTACAGAAAGGAAAGTTAGGCGAACGAACGTTTCCGATTAATCCATCATCAGACAATAAATTAATATAAGGAAGGGTAGAGTTAACGAAAGTTTAAACAACCAATCAACAGTAATTAGGGGGATAGGGGGGAGAGATGTAAAGGGATCAAAGGGATCTTATTTAGAATTTATTGGGTTTAACGAATTTTGACAATTTTTTGTGATTTTTACTCTATACTTTATTGGGTTTCTTAATATTCCCGAAAAAAAGTTGGTGGTTAGGAGGTCGTCTACCTCTACTTACCTGGGGTCCAACTTCTGCAGTTAGATTAGGATAGCACGCAGCGCGAAGCTCCGCACACATCTCCAGTTAACATGCGCAACAACCTTATGTAATTTTATTATATCTGGTTTATAGAATTTATTTATATTTAACTTCAGTTTTCAGTTTAGTTTTCGGTTCATTAGTACGTTTACCATTTTCATTTTAGCTTTAGATTTTTTTGTTCAGCAAAGTCAGCTTAGCTTTCTTCAGTGTACGTTTCTTAGTTGATTTTAGTTCTAGTTAATTATTTTTTCGGTTTATTTCCCAATAGTTGCGCAATTCCACATTTTAATTATCACACACTTTTGGTGGCAAACATTAGGATATTACAGAATTATCCCTGCTTTTTCTGCTATCATAAACTTTGTTTTTTTTATTTTTAATCCCTCTCCCTTGTATTGCCCAGACTGTTTACTCTTTATTTCACTCGGTTCTGTATAGCAGGAGGATGGGGCTTTCGCGTGCTGATCTGGGACCCAAACTAGGATTCTACCATTTTTCTTCGAGATTTATAGTGAGTACTTTACTTTTTAAAATGATACATGAATCTCTCGTACCGGCGCTGCCCTGCCAGTTACTTTTTCTTCTAAATCTTACCCAACTTAGTGCAAGGGCAGCTTCGCAGCTTAAAATACGAAAGTTTACTACAAGAATCCTGCATACTACAGTTTTTGCAGTCAGTTTTTTCTTGTTTCTAGACCCCAACCCCTTTCTCCTGTCTTGTATACTTTGTACTACTTTGGTTTTAAAAACTGATCAGTTCCTGCGTAGATATAATTACTTTTCGAGTCCCGGAATTACAGGTTAGTAATTATCAGCCCAGTAAATCGGTTGTAGCAGTTAAAAGGAAGGCAACCATCTTCTTCCCTAGTCCTCCTCCTCCCCCCTGACCTCCTACCTTCCCGTTTCATTTTTCTTTTCCTTCACGCTTTGACTTTCAGATTTCAGTCCCTTCCCATACAGAGAAAGTGAGTTGTTGTTGTGAACATTTTTTCAAGAGGGAATGTAGCTTTTAGCTCAAGTCTAAAAACGATTTGCTATCCCTCCTTGTGATGTTGCTTTTGACCTACCGGGCAACAGTCTAGTATAGGTCGCACCAGTGAAACCAAACCCACAGAATTCTATGATATATGACTGTTAGTAAAAGTGATTATGCAGGTGAGGCAAAACGAGGTCGCCGAAAGGAAAATAAAATACATGTATCAAAGAAAACACAGAAAATAATCCATAGCATTATTACAAAAACCTAATATATAGCAACGAAAAAACGTGCGATAATCGACAAGACTACCTGGAAAGGCTAATACCTACATATTTCAGCTTCGTGCCAACACAGTGGAATCGAGATCTGGTGCTTACGCTTCTCCAGATAGCTAAGAATATTTACTTCAGTGAGACCCTACCTGCAGAAAATGCTGCATAAAAGAGGCCCTACTTAAACGTGGCTATCCATTTCATTCAAAAATACAGCAGCTATTTACGGCCGTAATCTACGGAACAGTCAGCTCCGAAAAAGCCTTTAAGGGTGACAATACTTTAAGTACACTTAAGCGATGGCTATGTTACACCATAAAGAGAACGCACAATTCAGCGGAAATAGTGTTCCTCACTTCCACTAGAAGCCTTCCAGTTAACCGGACAAAGGATGCCTTGCCTTTGCATGCCACCCCAAACAGGGTCTATGAATTCACGTGCACTTGCGGATGCAAGTACAGTTGGCATACGCAGAGGAAATTGGCGACCAGGGCCGCTGAACATTTACCTATTTGGCTTTTTGAACGAGAAAACAAAGTGTCGCTATCCTTCATTACAAACCACCTGCTAGACAGTGGTCACTCTGTTGACCTTAACACACATTTCCGGGTTCTTATTGGAGACTGCTGCCGATCGAATTTAAAAGAGCTGACAAGGTAGAATAGCATACCCTTTAGAGGGCCATAGCCCATGAGGTAGAGCCTGTGCATAAGGAGGGCGTAGTCAGGTAGACCATCCTTCAGCTGGAAGACAAAAATGGGGAGCGGATCGACCGGCGTGGGCTTGTTTCTCTCCGCCTCAGCTGCAGCCCGGGCCGCCTCGAGAATGGGATCCGGTGCCTTCTCCTGTTGACCCTCATCGTCCTCTTCCATGGCCTCCTCGGCGCGTTTCCTTGCCTCCAACTCGGCCTTTCGACTGGCCTCCAGTGTAGCCCTCTTTGTGGTGAGTGCCTGACGCACCTCGGCCGACTTTTCCACAATCTTCTCCCAAACTGCCGTATTTGGCGGCAAACCGTCGAGCACCCAACTGATTGGCCTATATCAATGTGGAGGTAGTGTTATGACGTA